GAGCCCGGAGGGATCCGGGCGCCCCGCCGGCTGTGCCCACACTGTCTCCTACCCGTCCCCCACCCTGCACTGCCAGCGTGGGACCTCCTTCTGCACGTCAGGAGACCAGCGGGACGCGCCGACGCCTGCCAAGGAGGTGCAAGAACCCCCCCTGCCACCCCAGTGCTGCTCCCGCTGCATGAAGGAGCCGTCCTCCAAGCACAAAGCTTCCTACCTTTCCCCAAGACAGCACAGCCGAGAGTCAATTTAAGTCTTGCGTGACAGAGCAGGAGCGAAACCCAGGGAACACGGCTGTCAGCTCTCGTTTCTCAGGCGCTGACGCACCCCGGGGGGAAGGGGTGCGTCCGGGCACAGAACGGCCGGGCGGTCCTGCGGCACTGGCAGCACCCAGGCTGGCTCGGCCGCGGTCAAAGCAGGGCTGGTCCTCAAGGCGAGCAGCCCTGGGTGCTGCAGGAGGACATTTCAGGGACCCCAGCCAGGCCAGTTTGGACACAGGGACACCCTTGGGAGACGCAGCACGTGCAGGAGCAGCTCCCCATGCCTTTCCCCAGGTTCTTCCCACAGGATGGGGCTCTCCATTGCGGCATCTGCTGCAAGACAGGCTAGGTCATGTCGTCTCCCAGTCGTGGGGCTGCACATGGCAGTCCGAACGGGTTTTTGGTAGGATTGCCCTCAGCACTGGGAGGTCTGACTGAGCCCTGGGTCACCGCGAGGGAAGGCAGCGAGCTCGTGATCTAATCGCACCCAAAGATACAGGGATGCAGCACGCAAAACCTCTCCCGGCACACGGAAACAGATGTCAGAAGAACGTCACTTGTTCAGAGAAACAACCCAAAAGCTAGCTAGAAAACAGACCTCTTCCCAGCAAACCCCACTCTCTGCTGGGAAGAGGTTTCAGTTACCCTGAGATAGCGCAACGCTCTATGTGAGCAGTGCTTGATGCTGAAAGATAAACGTCCAAGTGCTGCTTCTGAGGAACAGCCATGCTGGCGTGAGACTGCCAAAGCGACCTCAGGGGCCAGTCTACCTACATCAGTCACACTGGTGTTACTGGGAGCTCTGCTGTGAAAACCTGGGGACCATGCTCAGCAGAGAAAATGGGCTAGACCTGGGAAGGACAGAACTGCACGGGCTGTCCCTTGAGGGACATGTCCTCAGGACAGCTTTACCGGCTTTCCAAACCAATACAGGTTGAAGACCAAGCAGGACCAATGCAGGTATTAAACTCTGCCGGCTGAAGTTTAAAATAACTTCCCGTCCTACCTTCCTGCTACGATGGAAAGGTATTTGGCAGCTCTCCCAAAGCCACCGGAAACAGCTTCTTACCAAGCTGCAGGACACTCCTGCCAGTTTGGCAACAGAGAGTATTTTTAAAGCTCCACCTCCTGGAGTCAAGTGATCATGAGAAAAATTTCAATTTTCATCTAAAAAATCACGCAGGAAAGATCTAATCATGCTAGTAAGGGGCGAAGCTTGAAAGCAGGGACCCTAAAGGCTTGGAAACTCTAAGGCAAACAGCAAGCTTGCAAACGTCCCTGATTTCTGCAAAGAACCCGGTCTGCCTTTCGTGCGCTGCGTGAACACTCCCTGCTTCCACACCTGGGGATCTCGGGAGTCTTGCTTTCTTCCTTAATGAAATTTTTGCTCCTTCCTTCTATGATTCATGTTCCCAAAAGGAAAAAATTACAGTTCTAACTCTAGATGACTTCTGCTTTAGATTAAAAAGAAACACAACAATTTTCTCGGTTACAGAGGAAGCTGAACGTGCCTTCCACCCCGCACTCTCAGCCTCAGCTGCTGAAAGGACTAATCCCACTGCACTGTTTGAGCCCTCCTGCTTTTTGTCTTAACCTCTGAAGTTCTCTGCCATTCAAGAAAGCATCATTCTTCCGGGGCATCATTTGAAGTCTGGACCATGACTCACAGAAGATGAGGTACACTGGCAGCTCTGCTGCTGACCTTGGGTCAACCACTTAAACTGGAGAGGCCTTCCCCATCTATAAATGGAGATAATCTACCTCACCAGTGACGTTTTTCAGGAATATTTTTGAGGTCGACATACTTTATGTTGAAGTGGAGGGCACAGAAAAGCTCACGTGTACTTTCAAATATGGACTTAAATGCATCACTGTGGGCTCAACACACTCTTGTACTTATCCACGAGCAAGAATTTGGCTAGACAGGCC